CAATATATGTAATGTCGGGTTGGTTTGGTTTCGATTTGACTTTCTTTAGTTAAAACCAAACCAATTATAGTCGGGTTTTATTTTCCAACATCAAACCAAATCATAGTCGGATTTTTTTTCTCGGTTTGACTCGAATTATCGGGTTGGTGTAGTTTGTCGGTTTCCTTTGTACACCCCTAGTTGTAGCATTTGTGTTGGAAAAGATTGCACAATATAGGGACGAAATAATCAAGGCCTTAAAGAATTTAAGCCTCCCATTTTTGTTGCCGTAGGGATTATGTAGGATTCCTTCGGGATTCTACAAAGTATATGAAATTTAAGTACCAGTAATTAGCTCGAATCTCCACAAGAAGAAACTCTGCGAATTGTTGATAGCAGTAAAAGAAGAATATGGAAATCTATTGTCACTTTTTCAATTTAAATAAGCTGTTAAAAACATTTTGATGATTAAAAAATATTTTTATTAAATAAAAAATAATATGTAACTAAAAATATTAATTTCGGACTAGTCCAACCTTGACTATTAATAATATAGCCAAATTCTTATATCCTCCAAAATAGATTTCAAAATAATCAAATCATATAAGACAAAAAAGTGCTTATAAATACTTCTCCTTTCTTTATTGTTCCAATGAGGGACAAGTTTCCTCCTCTAAAAAAGATTATCCATCAAAACTAACTAATGTAACAATTTGTACATCCAAACAGATATTTGCAACTAGACAAGCAGAATTGTTCTTGCTTTTGCAGAGACTTAGTGAATCTTTTAGTGAAACATATTATAAAAAAGGATCATCGATCCTTTTAACTTTTCATTATATTGTTTGATAAGTTATGTATTAAGAAAAACAACAACAAAAACAAAATTATTGAGATTCAAACTCGTGACACTATGATTTGAATTGTATCCTCTAGACAATCGAATTGTCTCTGAAGAAACTATTAACACGCAACTGAACGAGTATTTTTTGGGCGATAATATTTGTGATTGAGAGTAGATAGGAAATATTAAAACATCATTTAGGTATTAATTATAGAAACATTCCAGTATAAAACGCTAATTAAAATATCCTTAAATTAAACCTCATATAGATATGAAATAGTTTTAATACTACCATAATATATCAAGAATGAAAGGAAAGCAGCCCCTACTTTTAAATTTCAATCACAACTCAAATGACATCAATTTCATAAAGTAGAGATATCCATAATTTCCATAAAGATAAATGAAATAATGTGCCAGGTAAAGTATGATTTTGACCTTTTCTTTATCTTTAACTTTTTCCCCCTTTACCTGCAAGTGATAGAAAAAGAAAAGAAAGCGAAAAAAGCAAGAAAAAGTTAGATAAGTGCAAAGAAAAGCTAAGACAAGAAGGTTAGATTGTAACATAAGAGCTAGGGGTGTACAAAGTAAACAGACAAACTGCACCAAATCGACAATCTGAATCAAATCGAGAAAAAAATCCGATTATAGTTTGGTTTGATTTGGTTTGGTGTTAGGTAAAAAAACTCGACCATAATTGGTTTGGTTTGATTTTTACTAAAAAAAATCAAACCAAACCAAACCAACCCGACATTACATGTATAGAAGTTTTAAAAATATTTAACACATAAAACTATTTATTGTTGTGTAGTTTATAAATATTTCTTAAATATATTCATAATTTTATCTTTTAACGTATTATTTTAAACTTGGACTTATAATTCTTGAATGCTACAATAAGTTTTATAGTCAATATTAATGTTAATAAAGGACATTCAGTTAAATTGTACTAGGAACGATAATAGTGTTGGATATCTATCTTTTTAGTTTTTCCATGGTTTAGATAAAATACGCAACTTATTTTTTTATGGTGTTTACCCGTGTAAAAATAGTACTTGTTAGTCGTACTTATTTTAGTAACTTAGTAATTTTAGATTATGTTTATTTTCATTATGGCTTATTAATAATATTTATTTTATGCGATTTTATTATCTTTATTGTTGAATATTTTAGTACAATTAATGCCATAGCTCATCTCGTATTTTATGTTTTTTTTGTTGAAAAACACCTTATATAGTTATGTCTTACTAGGATCAAAGAAATATTTGGAGCATAAATTTTATGTTTTGTGTTATGAAGACTTTATGGGGAAAAAAAACCCCGAAATAACCCGAAAATCCAAAAAACCCGAGAAAACCCGAGATTAAAAAATCCGACTTTTATTGGTTTGGTTTGATCTTTAGATCTAATAACCCGACACAATTAATTTGATTTGGTAATTAAAAAATCCGAATCAACCCGTCATATATACACCCCTAATAAGAGCCATGCACAAGCAAGTAGCTAGCTTCTTCTTTCATATAAGAAGTTTCTTCTACCCAAAAAGTTTACCTAACTCACATAATTAGGCTTAAAAAGTAGGATTAGGTCTAAGCATATTTACAGGTAGTCAAAGTCTAGATATGGAAATAACAGGCCTAAAAGTTGTTGCACTAATGTATTAAAGAACATGATTACATCTTAGTTACAAGTAGGTTCAATTTATTGGGGTCAAAAGATATTTCATTTTATGCGATTCAAGAAAACAACGTGTAACAATAAAGTTAAACAGATATAGAAAGGTTAATTATTCTAACTTTAAAATACACTCGAGACTAACTCTTGAAGGTCACAATACATCACAACTCATGTGCAAAGCCAATGGTAATAGCGTGGTCAACTCGGTCTTTTACTCTTTAAATATTTTTCTCACGTCCATCCAACTACTGAAATTCCGATCAACTTAGTCAATGAAGAGGCCATGAATCTACTGTAACAACCGGTCAAACCCAAAAAGATTTAAATTTCTATCAGCGTCATAAATCTTGACCACTATACTTCAGTCTCAAAATAACCGAGATTGAATATATAAACAATTCCTATGTTTACTTCAGTATTTAAAAGATTAATCAAAGTTAGACTATTATTATTGTTGGGAGTGTGTGAACCAAATCTCACATTGGTACGTGAAAAGATTGGAAGTCCACATACAAGGAGTAGGGATCTCTTAATGGTGTGAGGCCTTTTGGGGAAAACCGTGCGGGCTTGGCCCAAAGCGGACAATATCACATCATGTTAAGAGTATCTTTGAGCCGTTTTAACCCAACAACTGGTGTCACAGCCCAAGTTCGGCGGGACGAGTATGAAGATGGCAAAGTGATGGTGCGGACCGGCGCACACACAAGAAGAAACTAGTTGTGGGCTTCGGTTGCCATAATAATCTAACAATGTGGGTGGCACACAATGAATCTCGGGAAATAAAGATCAGTATATCGTGGTAATAGACCACGTGCAACCCTCCTCTTTTTATCTAACAGTCGGACTAATTTTATACTATGTATATAGGCGGAGTAACGTTGCAAGGTGATACAGAAAATTAATCAATTAACTTAATTAGTAAAACCCACCATTAAAAGTTACTGGAGGGAAATAGATTCTTCTCCAACAGCAGCAAAGAACATCGAGGAGAATACGGACTAGCTTCCATTTGGACAAGCACAATGTTTAAAACCTCAAGATTGCATACAAGCAATGAAGCACGCACCTCGACTATTTTATTTTACGAATATTCCAATTCCCAAGTCCTAAAGCTCCACTATACTTTATTCAATCAACAATTATTCTTATCAATATTTAATATGCAAAAACACCACCCGTATACCCAAAAAAACTGAAAAAAGGATTTTCAAACTAAAATTAGGTTGGGTGTGGGCTAGTAGTTTTCTTAAGAATACCACAGTATTAGACGTTTTCAGACGGAAAGGGAAAAAACATATGTCATGTACTCATTGGTTGGTATTAACACCAAATGCGCGTAAATTTTCTATATTCTTAGACGGGTTCACTTGATTATCAATTTTTTAATTTGGAACTTTCCTTCCCCTCTTTTCCCCTTCAATTCAATCAACCTTAACCTTTCTTTACTTGTATATTTTGGGCCTAATTCTGTTGAAGATTTTCCAATGACCAAAGAATGAAAGCAACCTTAAACGAATACACATGCTCGGGGTAAACTAGATTCCTACCAAAGAAAGGAAACATCAGAATACCAAGTTGATAACTCAACCGTAAGTTACACTAGGGAGAGACGTACGTGTGCACCAAGTATAAAGAACGTGGACTACTTTTCCTTTCTTTTCGTAAGGGTTGCGTCAGATGGCAAGAAATCACCGGCATTTAACACAAAATGTAGTGAAATCAACACCATTTGAATCCGCAAGTAACAATACATCCAGATTCTTGTTTCTCTATCAAGAGAGAATTTAAGGCATGACCTTTATATGAAGTTACCGGAAGACGGAATCAGCCTCTCTACCTAGGTAGGCATAAAGTCTGCGTACATACTATACTAGATTTGTAGTTGTCAGGGGCAGATGCATGTTAAGCAAGCGGTGTCACGCGACATCGCTTCGTCGAAAATGTTTACTAAATATATCCATTAATACTGTGAGAAAACGGATACCTAAGAAGAAATAACATCACTTGACATAAATTGTCTCCTAGCACATTGGTTATGTGACTGAATTGATCTAAGAGGTCAGAAGTTTGATTCACAACTAACACATACTTTTTTATAAATATTAGAGAGCGCCTCTATGGTTAAAAGTTGTGAATAAGTAGAATTCAACTCAGGACCTTTTCTAACTTAAAACTCAACAAAACTAATGGACTAAAGCTATTTACTGTCTAGAAATATGATAATTAAAGTTATTTATTCCTGTTCTTCTATAATTTTCGATATCGCTTACAAAAATTCCTGCATACGCCCCTGATTGTTGTTGTTGACCTCTACATGAAGTGATATTCCTTATGATTCTAGGAGGATCTTATTCCACAAATAGGATATTTGGTAATTGTAATCGTAAGAATATAAATATTTGCTATCCCAGATTGACTTCCTTCAACCAAGGACAACATAACCACAAATCTGAACAATACAGGATTCTTTATCTACTAAATATAGATCTGAATTCTGCAATGGAGAGAACATAAACATAATTTATTCAACACATCAAACTTCTTTTGGGACAAAACTGTGGAGCATCACTTGGAAATCCTTATAGCATCTCAAATTATGTGAGAGGTCGTATACAAATGAACATAATGTGTCGATATTTGATGTATTCTTCTTAAAGAGGAAATCAGGTAACCATAGATTGGCAGCAGTAAGGAGCCAATTACAATGCAATATTATGGAAATCTCAAGAATAGAAGATTGCCTCATAAACCGCCAGGCGCCAGTGGCAACATTAATAAACGACATCTAGTAGTTGTTTGCCGAAAGCTCGTTCATTGTTTCCACATCGAGAAAACAAATCTAAGGGAGCATTTCTATCTCCTTTCATAAACTTGGCTGCTTAAGTTTATTTTTTAAGGCAATTTGATAAATTTACCTCTCCAGAAGCATCACCAGTTCACAATGAGAAGTATGAGGAAAGAGATCAACCGCCATTGCTTTGACAGGTTGAAAAGGCTCTGAACTGGGCATAGATTTGGTCCTATGTCGTGCAAGACTAGCACTGCTCATATTTCTCCATCCTCTGTTGTTTTTATTATTACCCCTCTCAGCTTCATCTGGAGAAGGTGTGCATAGCTCAATAGCATTTGCGACCAAGCTCTCAGGATTACAGGAAATATAACTGAAAAGAGCAGATTAAGAAAAACGAGGATTAGACTAGAAATAATGCTGGAAAAGGTCTGAGAATAAGAAAACAAAAGAAAGGATAAGTTGATGCATCAAAGGAGCTTACACAAGCCTCCTTAGACGTGAATTAGTCCTCAAAAGTTTGATAACCTACAAGCATTGAGAACAAAAATTAGCTCAAAGCAAGCAGCTCATTTCAAGCCCCGCATATAATAACGGAGGAAACATATAGTAGTATCAATCCCGGGTGGTCACATAAAACTGAATTAGATCAAAGACCAGATGAAATCTTCATCCATTATATGAGACACAAATTCATATATAGCTTAAAAACTGTTGACCAGCTCATAAAGAAGTAAATTTCCGCTCTAAGTACTTGCCCAGATACCAACCAAGGATGAAAGCAGAGAAATCAACTTACTGTGGGATGAAGTCCAACACGTGGAGGATCCACAATTGCAACAACATTCTTGAAATGTCGCACTGAAGTGGTCAAATTATCTGATGAACAACTCTTCCCAAGTTGGGTTTCTGATTCTGTAATGCAACCTGCTGAAGATTCTGACAAGCTTGTACCATTGGTACGCTCAAGGCCTGCTTTTCCCTCGGGTTCCACTGTGTTATCCGTGGAATCAGTATTCCCAATAGGTGCAGTTGCAGACCCAATACCTGATCCCTCATCTGTTTCCGATGCATTAACTATAGAATCAGTCTTCTCTGTGGAAGTTGTATTTTCTTGTATATCTGGAATTCCATCTACTTTTGGAGGTGAAGTAAGGTACTCTCTCAGTACAGATCCCATGACATCCTCGGCCTGCAATCTCATGATGCAAATTCTGGAATTAACATGTGCAGCATAGTTTTTAATACAAAAGATGAGCTATCCTACAGAAGGAGGGAAGGACAGACAAACATAGTCATTGTTTCCAAAGAAATCTATGCTATAGCTACCAAACAAAAGCTCACTGAAATACAGGAGGTTCTTAAAACTTAAAAGTAAGCTAGCTCTCAAACCAAATCCAGATAGACTTCAAAATGCGCGCCAGACCCATCAGGCTTTTACACTTAGTTCAACTTAATATGCCTCATATATCTTTTTCCTTGACTAAAAAGCCTTGCAAATCTTTANGGGGGAGAGAGATCTCCTCCTGCTGCTTTAAGCTGTAAATGGTACTTTAAATTTAGTAACAACATGACTTACACAACCTGGATAAAAAAAGAGTATAAATTACTAACAGTATATCAACACTGTATAAGCGGCCATGACCAAAAAGGAAACAAATAAAAAATATGGACAATTTATTGGTAGTGACTAATTTTATAGACCAATTATGATCAGCCAGCGGGCAGACCTATAATACAGAAGCGAAGGGTGAAGATAGAGTGAGAAACCCAGTAAAGATGTAGTCCAATCTGACCTTTCCACAAATAAATCTACAGTTTTTTATCCCATTGATTTCTGCATTTCTTTGAGCATCAGAGACCGCAGAAGCATTCATTTCAATGCCAACAACCTGAAGAAATTGATCAGACAAAACTTCTTACCATCTCAAGACATTCAAACATATTCAATGTGCATATAGATTTTACTTCCTGAAGAAATTGATCAGACAGAACTTCTTATCATCTCAAGACATTCAAACATATTCAATGTGCATATAGATTTTACTTCCTGAAGAAATTGATCAGACAGAACTTCTTATCATCTCAAGACATTCAAACATATTCAATGTGCATATAGATTTTACTTCCTGTTACAAAATGTAAGTAAGACACACTTCTCTTAAACAAGAATTAAAATACTAAGCCAGTAACAGCAAAATGAGAGTAGGATTACAGATATTTTATTTATTTTATGATCCCCTCAAAAGTTCTCTCTGTGTCCGAAATGCTTAACCTACTATCCTTGCAAGTCAAATGGTCCACCTCTTTTTTAAACAGGAAATTTTTTCCCTCCAATAATTAAACAAATCTATATCCACCCAATTTTATTGGATGTCCCCAATGAGGAATTCAAACAATATAAACTGATACTAACTTATATTATCTTGAATTTGAACTGACATATTCATAGTTAACCAAACATATTTCATTTCAAACTATACTCCATCCCAAATTGGATATCTAGCTTTCAGTAACATCCCAAAATTCAACTCAATTCGTATTAAGAAGATTTATTTCCTCTGATGAAACCTTTACAGTGTTTTAACACAAATTTTTCTCTATTTTATTTCCAGAAATGAAAAATTAAACACAATGAGCCCATATGTACCACGACAAATATTACGCATTTAAGCTAACGAGTTTTATTTTAATATATGTACCATACTTAAAAAAGTATTATGTATAAAGTAAAAGTAAGACATTCAATTGGGGACAGCAAATGAAAACACTTATTTGCCTAACTCCACATAATAGTTTACTTGGAACGTTTGCTACTAACTCCTGGAGTAATCAAAGTAGAACATTTTTCAAAAACAGGTAAAGGTAGATATAGTGAATTATTCGGGCAAATATTTAACACCATGAAGCAAAACAATTTCAAAAAAGCAAAATTTGGAATTTAATGGAGTGGTGAACATTACCATACCAACTCGATTAGCCAGAGTCAGACCAATTGTTCCAGTTCCACAGCAAACATCGAAAAGCAAAGTATCAGGACCCAAGCTCGCCCAATCCCCCGCCAGGGAGTACAATTTCTCTGCAGCAAGGGTGTTCACCTGTGCCAATTAAAGAACTTAAAGGCTTGCAACTTCTGAGAGAGAGAGGAAAGAAAAGAATAAGATCAGCTTAGGACAGAGAGAAATAAGCAATAATCTCACCTGAAAGAAGGCTGTGGGTGAAATACAAAACCTAAGTCCATTTATAAAATCGTGAATTTTTGCTTCAGCAACTGCATTATCTGCTTGCAGTTCAGAATAGCTTTCCCTTTTGGGAAACGGAAGGACGCGCAGAGGAGCATCTGCCGGCGCTACATTAGATATACCAGTGTGATCCTGCACTTAGAAGTAGCAACATCAAGGTTGCGTAAAACCACCACTGGCAGATCAAGTACATATTTCACTATTATGAAAAAACTAGAATCTTGAAAAGGTCAAAAACGAGACAACTGAAGGATTTAAGTGTAAATAAAGGATCACTAGTTTGAAGCAAGGATATAGGCATAAATCAAAATTTAAGACAAAAGGATAATAAGGTAGAAAGACACATAGGGTTTAAACTCTCAGCATCCCTGGCTTATTTCCGTTTATGACCAAGTTGGTTTGTTATATATTAGTGAGAAATAACTAATAAGACCAAGATTTTAGAGTTAACCCCCCCCCCTCACCATAGATTGAGAAATGCCTTCAAGATTGATGTATGATTACTACCTGAACTACCAGGACAGTAAGAGGTAATGTTGGTGATGCACTAGAAGCTCCCATAGCAAATGCTTTGGCCATACTTTGGAATTCATCATTAACTACTGCATCATCCAGCGCCAGAGTGCAAACCTAAGCAATCCAGCAGTAAAGAAAATGAAAAAAAACAGAAGGCCCAGCAAGTCCTAAGCACAAACTAAAATCAACTGCTCATTTTTCTGAAAATGGTAGATATGAAAGAACAAAATAAGGACTAAGTTAACAAGACATAAACCTGGACAATGAGCATAACCTCTGAAATACTTGCATCAGAATTTTCAACCTTTACTTTTTTACCAGGCATGCGACCTTCTCGAACCTGGATGTAGATATCCCAAAAGAAACAGTCAGTTGGCCAAGCATCACAAACCCGCCTCTCCCCATTTCCAATAAAAGCAAGAAAAGACTGTTCAGCCTCTCCAACATGCACACTGAATCATCTCTGCATGATAGGAGAGGCTGAACAAACTAATTGGTCATAGAAAGAAATTGGACATACAGTAAGTTGCCTCCAGAATCCAGTATTATTCAATCTATTCCAAATAGGTAGGGTTGACTGTTGTAAAAAATCTTGAAAGATAGCAGCATATTTACAAGCAATTCCAGAAACATTTGGGCAGTTCACAGGTTCCTCGACAGCTGTCACACCCTCCCTGGTACAAGGATAATTCCTGTTAAATGGACTATGACAAGGAAAAGAGAGAAAAAAACTAGATGTTGAAAAACTGCAATCACTTTTATCTACCTGAAATTTCCAAGCAGAAACCCCACAGTTGGCTTCCCTAGTACAGAGTATCCGACAGAAAACTCACACTTGTTACGATATCCCTCAATAAGTGGCGAGTCAATTATGCCCTCCAGTTTACATGGTTGACCACCTGCTCAAAGAAATGATCGGATCAAAGGTTATATCATTTCTTAATCAAATTCTAGAAAAGAATAATAGCATCCTAATTCCACACGATTTCAGTGAACAGAAGTGAATCAGTTGTCTATTAACTATAAAGATATAGTCATAGAGCAACAATGCAGTCGATGCAATTCAAAGAAATGATTAAAGTGTACCTATTTCCCTAGATTTGAGAATCCATTCTGGAAGTGAAACACCATTTGGACAGGCTTTACGTGCATTTCGAGTCTGTCCATATGAAAAACAGATAAAGTGGTCAAAAGTCTATTTTCACAAACTTTGAGCAGGAAGTCAAAAGCTTTGAGCGATTTTATAACAATATGGAATAGAGGGATAAGATATCCTAACAAGTTTTTTGAGAGTTTGCATCAAAGAGCTCTTCTTCTGCTCCAGCTGATCAGCGTACGGTACATTAGCAAGAGGAGTCACCACATCACGAACACTCCTACCCTTCAAAACTGAATCACTGGACAGTGGGTCCTCAGCCTCAGTTTCATCTGATATTTTAGTCGAATCCAAACTGTCCCCAGTTTGGGTTTGCTTTTCACCTTGTTGACTGGCCGGAGATGAAGATATTGCCGAATTACCTTTTCTCTCAAATGGCCGCGGAATGACATCTCCAACCTTCAAATTCTTGTTTCCAACAAGCTTTCCATTCAACTCCTGCCAAGTTCGAAAAATAAATGTTTCTGATAATAGCAGAGCTGCATGTCATTCTAATCAAATTTAGACAACAATTGGAATACCTTCAGAGCACTCTTCACTTGTTCTGGATTTTCAAAAGTAACAAATCCTACAACCATGCCTTTCTTCTTTTTTGCTGATTTAAAAGTAACATCCTAAAATTTAAGGAGTCAATTCCAACTAACATCTCATCCCGTTATAAATGAATCCATAAAGAACAGAACAATAATTAAAAAAGGTAAAGAGTAGGGATTATTTTCTTTAGGAAGCTGAATCACGATTCCAGGAGAGCAGACTTGTCCAACCATAGAGCAAACATCCGTACTTCTACAGATGTTAACATTGGTACTGCCAGTAGTCTACAAAATACACCCGCTCTTTAAGGCAATGATGAATTCTAGTGTAGTCATGGATGCAAGGATGAAGGAAGGAAACTTATGTTAACAGGTATGTTCAACATACATGTAGCCATTTTCACTTGCATTCACTTTACTAGAAAAAGAAAAAGGATAATATAGGGTCCCAGGAAACATGACCAACATAAAGGACTGATCTATGTGCTCATTTGCTTTTGAAAGTGATGTATGTTTTCGAGGATCTACGGAGAACCACTGGAAATGAATTATCCATTGCATCACCTGATCACCTCATGTGGTGGAGGATACAAAGACGAATACATGAAAGGAGAAAACATAGAGCTGCCAGTTTCTATATTGCTGTGACAATGTTCAACAGAAAATCAAGGGAAAAACACCTAGAAACACCCCCACCCCC